AGCTCTGGCAGTGTGGCAGGTAAGGCTTTTGGCTGCTAATCAGAAGGTCGATGGTTTAAACCCATCAACTACTCAATGGGAGGAAGATGAGGCCATCTACTTCGGTAGAGATTGACAGCCTTGGAAACCCAATGGAGGTCACTATGAGTCAGAATTGATTCGATGGTGGTGGGTTTTTGGTTGGTCATTATATTCAGTGATTATTAGAATTATATTTTACAAGTAAAATTAGTACAGAAAAATAAAGATTCTGTATGGTGTAGCATGGGAGAAGGCCCATGGTGGGGACAGGGGGAGTGACACCATGAATTACTGCATTGAATGACACCAACCCCAGCAGCAAAACTGCATTATTAAGTAGAAATAAATTCCATTTTACCTGAACCCAACTGCCCTTCCTTTGCAGGGGTGGCCTTAACTAAGGCTCCCCAGCCTTTCTTTCCTATTTCTCCTGTATTGGAATGGGGATACCAGACAGAGAATCCTGGTCCTGCTGTTGCGGAGAGCAGTTGGAGGACCGATCTAGAGTGTGCATGGTGGGAGAAATCTCCATTCTGGTGCAGTAGCCAAGCTGCCCTTTCATTAAATTATTGCATTAAAATACAGAAATAATAAAGAAAATATAACTGTTCCTACACGACAAACTATAATTAAAGCCACCCTCAGGTAAACCATTTCCAAAGTTTCCAAGACATTAGCTAAAATTATAAAATGATGACATCTTCTTTTCTACCTTTTTAAACAGTTAAAAATGAAAGTCCTCAATTAAAAAAATGTACACATAAAGTTGGCATGTGACAGTTCATTTGCTGAAAAATTATTTCTTGATGAGATAATCTTTGTAGAGGTTTGCTCATGGAGATTACCAAGGTGTTAAAGAAACCTAATTAGGTTTTGAAGAAACCTAATCATTTAGTCAACAACTATTGGAAGACCTATGAAATGCAATCACTGGGAAGAATTGGTTGCCGCCTTCAGGGTTCAATGAAAGGGCACCCAAGGATCCAACCCCAATCTTCTCAGGAAGAGACAGAGTGCCTTTGGAACTCTTCTGCCTGCAGAGTCTTCTGGAAGCTGGTGCTGCCACACCAGGAGGACCTGATCCCTGAATTGACTTCCATAACACAACTTCTACAGCAACCACTGGTGAAACCCTTGACATATTCCTTAGGTGAGTACACAATTTACAGAAGAGTTCCTGTTAGTTTCCTAAACCAAAACACAAACCAAAAATAACTTTAGTTTATTAATCAGAGAGTGAGGATTTTTGTATGAAATGATTTCATTTGCCTGGCTTATAAAATGTAGTCCTTGCCTTAACCTATAAATGATTTAATCTACTTTGTCATCTTGTCTTGCTATACATTGAAATTAATACAGTGATTAATTTTTTGTCTTTTTTTTCTTTATGTCTGCCTTGGATGTTACACTTGCACAAAAAAAAAAAAAGCCATAAACTCACTGCCAATTGATTCCAAGTCATAGCAACCCCCATTGGGTTTCCAAGGCAGTAAATCTCTATGGAAGTAGATTGCCTCCTCTTCCATGGAACTGCTGGTGGATTTGAACCATCAACCTTCTGGTTAGCAGTCATATGCCTTAGGCACTCTGCCAGCACAGCTCTATTTGGATGTTATAAGGATCCAGAAATAGTTGCTGGTTATCTTGTAATTTTGTACTTGGTATGGTTCCTAAAAAAGGAATAGAAGGACTTTATTTTATATGAGGTTTATAAATGTACTATAAAAGTAGTGTAAACATGTATACAAAAAAAATATTCTGCTATAAGTATATAATGAATTGATTGGTTTTTGGGGAAAAAAATGCTTTTGATCCTGGCAAATGTCTCTCCAGGAAATGGATTCAGCCTTTCACAAGGAACTCACATGTGTCATCTGCTTGAACTACTTTATAGACCCGGTCACCATAGACTGTGGGCACAGCTTCTGCAGGCCCTGCCTCTGCCTTTCCTGGGAAGAATGCAAAACTCCTGCTTCTTGCCCCATGTGCAGGGAAACATCAGCGCAGACAGAGTTCAAAAGCAATATTGTTTTGAAGAAGTTAGTGGCCCTTGCCAGACAAGCCAGTCTCTCACAATGCCTGAACTCTGAGGAACAGATGTGTGTAGCACACAAGGAGACAAAGACCATCTTCTGTGAAGAGACCAAGACCCTGCTTTGTTTGCTCTGCTCTGACTCTCAGGAGCACGAGGCTCACAGCCACTGTTCCATAGGATGCGCAGTTGAGGAATACCGGGTGAGTGGAACATCTGAAAGCACGTTGAAAGCTGGAAGATAATATGTTGTTGTTGTTGTTATGTGCTGTCAAATAGGACCCCACTCATAGTGAACCCTCCTTGGGTTTCCAGGGCGGTATCGCTAAGGAAGTAGATTGGCCAACCTCCTTCGGAGGAATGGTCGTGATGATGATTAATCCATTCATCAATGAGCATCTAATATGTGCTGGCTACTGTCCTGGGCATGAAGGATAAATCTGTAAATAAAACAGACAAGTAAACCTACCTTCATGGAGATTGCATTCCAGTGGGAAGATAATTCAGTTAATGGTTATTGTTAATTTCATTATGCAAAATGAAGCACCGGACACCATAAAACTCACATTTCCAGAAATAGCCTCTGGTTACATACATTACAATTGTAATAAGCTTTTTATATTGAAAGTTTATGTAGTGAAACTGGACAAACATAGGATAATAGTATAGAGAATTAGCAGGGATGAGGCGCTCTCTGGTGGCGTAGTGCCTAAGGCATTTAACTGCTAACCAGAAGGCTGGCAGTTCAAACTCACCAGCCACTCCTCAGAAGGAAGGTTGGGCAATCTACTTCCATAGCGATACCACCTTGGAAACCCAAGGAGAGGTTGCTATGAGTCACATCCAGCTCCATGCCAGTGAGTTAGTTAGGATCAATAAAACAGAATTTGTGGCAAGATGCTTATAGGAAAATTACTTACATTATGTAATGCCTTTGCTTATCAGTTTTCTTTTGTTGTTAAGTGCCGTCAAGTCGGCCCAACTCACAGCAACTCCTCCTTGGGTTTCCGAGGCAGTATCACTACAGAAGTAGGATTGCCCAACCTTCCTTCCGAGGAGTGACTGGTTGGTTTGAACCGTCAGCCTTCTGGTTAACAGTCAAGTGCTTTAGCCACTATGCTACCAGAGCTCAGTTTTCTTAGGCAACTCATTTCCCTGCTTTATATGTCTGAAAAGGATCTCTGGTGGCACATGGTTGAAGCATGGAGCTGCTAACCCAAATGTTAGCAGTTCAAACCCAAAAGGAGAAAGATGTGGCAGTCTGCTTCCTTAAAGATTTACAGTCTTAGAAATCCTACGAGACATTTCTATTCTGTCCTGCAGAGTCACTTTGAGTTGGAATCAACTCCATGGCAGTAGGTGCTTTTTGATAGCCTGAAATCTCCCAGAATTGATAATTATCAGGGGTAGCCAAGGAAACATGATCCTTCTTCTTTCCCTAAACTATGTTTGTCTAACATCCTTTGCCTTTGGCCATCAGTTGGGGTCTGAAATCTGTAGTATTTGTTCCCTTTAGTGTTTAATTTCATTGTTTTTGCAGGAGAAGCTCACAAAACAAAGGAAGTCTTTATGGGAAAATATCCAAGAAAATGAGAGAAATCTCAATGAGGAGGGCCGAGTAATCAGCCAGTGGATGGTAAGCATCCACTGGTAAGACTATTTTCTTCATAACCAGCTTGATCCAGACACACTGGGATTTTATTAAGAACTTGACCTTAAATCATCGTCATGAGAGTTTGTGGTGGGTTTGTCAGTAGAAAGAAGAATTTGGTATTTTTATGTAGGATTTGTGACAGGATTTCTAGGACTTTGGTGTATCAGGATCAAGGGAGAAAAATAGGCCATCATAACAAAGTGCAACAAGTGCTAAAATGGATACAGGAATTTGGAGAAGTTCAATAACTGTTCAGGAGTTGAATAAAAGTTTCTTAGGGAAGTTTCAAAGGGAAAGCTTTTTCTCTCATTGACTTTGGAGGAAGGTCATTATCTCTTCAGCTTCTTGGTTCCTTGGAGATCTCCATGTGTCTTGGCAGCTATCTTATCCCATATCTCTACTTGCTTGTTTAATCTGTTTTATATTTCAACAAAGATTGACTCAAGATACAATCATGCTAATCCTATCTCATTAATGTAATAAAGACAATCTGTTCCCAAATGGGATTACAACCATAGGCATAGAGGTTAGGATTTACAACACATTTTGTGTGACAAAGCTGAATTCCTAACAGATGGGTTGGAATACTTAATAAATAATGGAAAATAAAGAAAGGAAATAGAGGTATGAATGTGGTTTCTGACAAAGGGAATGATACAAATTTAGGTTGCATGAGAGTGGTTGGAAGAGGACAAGAGTCAGAGAAATGAATCCAGTTTAAGTGGTGAAGGATAAGGTCAGCCTGGATGTGTGATCTAAGAAACGTATGTCCCTGCAGGATTATATATATCTACAGAGAAAGATGATCAGAGATGAATATCAGAAGATTCATCCAGTTCTCCAGAAGGAAGAAAATCAACATTTAAGGGGACTGAAAATTGAAAGCAAAAACATTTTACAGCAACTCAAGAAAAGTAAAGCCACAATGGTTCAAAAAAGAAAACACCTAATAGAAATGCATGAGGAGCTGCTGGATATGTGCCATAAACCAGACGTTGAACTGCTCCAGGTAAGACATGAGGATGTGCTTGGATATCATTTATATCAGCTCAAGTTCATATCTTTGACTTCTGTTATATATTTTAAACCAAAATCATATTTCTGTATCTTCTGATCCTATGGAGAGTAGTATTGTACAAGTGTGTATGATACAAACTTCAACTCCTACCCTAACCACAAACAATAAAACTTTATGGAATCCCCTTCTAAATTCTCATTATCTAATTCACTTCTAACCACCAGAAAGGAGCAACTCATTTATAGGCATTCTAGTCTCCAGTTTGGCAATATGAAGAAGGAGAAAAACTAGCATTTACTTCCTCCTTTTGTTTGGTTTGAATTGTCTTTGTTTTGGGGCACATTATCCTTTGGGAACAAGCATTGTGAAAAGATCGCTTTATAGACAGCTGAAGGTTGTAGCTATGCAGTCCTGGCTCTCAAATCCTTCTGTCTTCATTCACCTTCAGAGCCCTGAAGTATCAAAAATGTAGTTTCTGTCAATGTGTTATACTGTGATTTTCCTTTAAAGAAGAGGAAAAAAATATTATAAAATCCAGAATGGAGAAATGGAGTTTTTGTCACTTTTCTCAACTTCCCCAAATCTTAACACTAATGGGGCAGAATAACTGATTTCGAAAGAATTCTAAGCTTTTATTTTTTTTTCTCTTTACAGAACTTGGGAGACATATTGACAAGGTAAGTTTGACGTTCAGTGCAAACATGTGGACTAGGAAAGAGACCAATGTGTTTCTAACAAAATAACGTTTTATTGAGACACTACATGTTTTGTGTGCATGTGTGTTTTTCATGTGTTTGTATGAATATAATTTTCTATCCCACTCTATCATAAGCTGGTTGTTTTGTCTTTCTGTGCTCAGGGAAGTATGTGTTGTTGGCTTTAGCGCAGAAATCACTAGAAAACATCTATGTATGATCTTAGATTTCAAAATCATAAACATTCAGTGTGTGGACTTTAAGGTCTTTAAAGTAGGTGAGAGGAAGGCACTTATGAAAAGAAGGTGGAGGCAGTGAGAGAAGAAAAATATTCCTTACGAATTGCACAATCCCATCCCAGAATTGTGGTGGTACACTATAATATCAGAAATGAGTTCTGATAACCATTTCTAGTTAATGGCAATGTCTCTTTTACACACAGATTTGGCATCTGAAAGATTAACTGAATCTTCCCCCTTGCAGGAGTGAGTCCATGTTGCTGTACATGCCCCAGCCTGTGAAACCAGCACTCAGTGCACGGCCCATCACTGGACTGATAGACAGGTTCAGCCAATTCCAAGGTAAGTGTCAGCTCTGTGGTGGGACATCTGAGTGGTGGCTTTTCTATGGGTAATATTTCTCTCTTTATTAATCTTTTATTTAGGAGAGAATAGCCTGGAAAAAAATATTTTTAGTTACATTTGCCCTGTGATAGTATGAAAAAAAATCTAAATGAAAGCTGGTAAAAGAATAAATGTGATTCATGCCTGTAATATTAGACTATGAGAAACAGCAAACAATCAAAAAGGCTCCCTGAGATCTAGAACCATTCTGAGATATAATATCATCTATTCATTGAGACATACAGAACTTCATATTCAGTCAGGCCATTCTGGTTTTAACTAAAATACAATTAATTATGGTGATAGGGTTATCTTAGTTATCTAGTACTGCTAGATTCATTTTCTGATGTTGTTGTTATTTGCCATCGAGTCAGCCCTGACTCATAGCGACCCCTCCTTGGGTTTCCGAGGCAGTATCACTATGGAAGTAGGATTGCCCAACCTTCCTTCTGAGGAGTGGCTGGTGGGTTTGAACCGCCAGCCTTCTGGTTAGCAGTCAAGTGCCTACCAGCCACTCCTCAGAAGGAAGGTTGGGCAATCCTACTTCTGTAGTGATACTGCCTAGGAAACCCAAGGAGGGGTCACTATGAGTCGGGGCCAACTCGACGGCATGTAACAATGTCTTCATTTTCTGATAGGAGGCTAGAAATCTGAATTCACGGTGCTCACTCAAGGGGAAGGCTTTCTCTCAGTTACCTGTGGGGGAAGGTCCTTATTCCTAGGCTCCTGGATGATCTTCCTATGGCATGACATCAATTCTCTCCCACCGCTTGCTCATTTGATTGCTTGTCTAATCTCTTTTATATCTCAAAAAAGAGATTGACTCAAAACACACCCCACACTAAACTTTCCATTAACATAACAAAGACAATGCATTCTGAAAAGGGCTTATACCCACAGACATAGAGGTTAGGAATTACAACACATATTTTTGACAAACAGTTGGCAAAGTCTTACTTTTAAAATATTTTGTCAAATTTATGAATTGAATTTGTAAGTGTGCACTGTAATTGAGGTAATAAAAAATTTTGTGAATAAACATAAATGAAAGGCATAAGATAAGAATTTGTGAGGAAGAACAGTAAAGCAAGTTGGTGGTTGATGAGGTAGTATACAGAGTAGACCTAAACCAGGGAGGTTAGTTGGCCAGTAGAGGAAGACCAAGCCTGAGATGGAACTAGGGTTAGAACTAAAAAATTCTTCATAGGAAATGTCTAAGAAGATATATTTAGGTTTCTTTCTTGAGTGTAAATGTGCTTAACTGGGATATCATAGTATCACTGGCAAGTGGTTGCTAATTATTCATCTCTAAATATTTTCTCTCTGGTGTATGCCTAAGGCATATGACTGCTAACCAGAAGGCTGGCAGTTCAAACCCACCAGTCACTCCTCGGAAGGAAGATTGGGCAATCTACTTCCATAGAGATATACCTCAGAAACCCAAGGAGGGGTTGCTATGAGTCAATGGCAGTGAGTTTTTTGTTGTTGTTGTTTGTTTGTTTAATATGGAACAGTGGCATTAATTTCACATCTATGGACTTGGTGTTAATGAAAAGGTTTTCTGTTTCTAAGTGCCATGAGAAGTAAAAAATCATAACTCATTAGTCATATATTTTTTTTTCACGGAAGTATTTGGTTATCCATCCTATTTTCTACATATTGGTAGCGCTTTAGTCTAATGATGTTTTCCAATCAAGTCACGCTTGAAGTCTTGGTCTGTTTTTCAGTGACAACCTTAGATCTCATAAGAATTAAAAAACTGATTAAGACTGGAATATTTTCTTTCCACAGTGGGAATTACCTTAAATTATGAAATAAGCAGTTACGATATCATGCTGTTTGATGACGTGAGAAGTTTGAAGTGCAGACATGACCCTGAAGATGTGCCTTTTCCTTCCGGAAGATCTAGCTACTTTGCTGCATGTGGATCCCAGGCCTTTAGCTCTGGAAAACTCTACTGGGAGATAGATGTGGACAGTTCTTGGGACTGGGCTGTAGGAGTCTGTAAGGATACTTGGATAAGGAAGAACAGCCCAGTGATCAAGTCTAGGGACATATTTCTTCTTTTATGTGTGAAGGAGGGTAATCATTACAATATCTTGACCACCTCCCCAATGCTTTCTCATTACATAGAAAGACCTCTGGAACGGGTTGGTGTGTATGTCGATTTTGACAGTGGCAGTGTAAGTTTTTCTAATGTTGCCAAAAGTTCCCTTATATGGAGGTACCCATCTTGCTCCTTTAATTACCCACTTAGGCCCTTCTTTTGTATTGGCCACACAGGATCATGGGGAAGTCAGGAAAATGGGACCTCCATATCTGAAGGATCCTTCCTCAATTGAAGGGAATCAATTACACTTTACTGTCTCTTAGGTTATTCCACTTTAATGTAACATCATTTTACTGTTGTTAAATGTAAAGCTAGTGTGAAAATGAAAAATGGTGATGATTTAATTTTTTAAAAAATTAAAATAATTTATTGTGGCCCCTTTTCTAGTTATTCATCTGCTATGTGGGTCTGATGGAGTTACAAGAATATCAGCATGAGATTCCGTCTTAATAGTTTAATGAAGGAACAGAGTGTATCATAAAGAGACCTGGTTATCTGCAGTGCACATGTCAGTCTGAAATACTCTTCTGCCTCATTTTGAGCAAATAAAATACTACCCATCAATTTCCCCTGCCCACTAAAAACCAAACCATGAGTGGATTTATTAATAAGTTACTAGAGTGCTAGTGTTGTTCACATGTGTACTAAAATTGGAATGACCCAGAGAAGATAAGAATGATCCCTGTGGAAGGATGACATGCAGATTTTTGAAGAATTCCCCCCCAGAAAAACAATGACCAAAAACCTGCTAGAGCTCGGGAGGTCCCCTGGGACCATACAAATGTGTGATGGATGAGTGGGCAGATCACCTTCATTGTTGAAGGGTCAATGGGGGAGAAGGGCTTTACAGAATGTAGGAATGGAAAGGATTTAAGCAATTGGGTGATTGGTGGGGACATTGCAAAGGAAATACATGTTCATGGAGGAGAGAGTTTTGGAAATAGGATGGATTATCATATTTTAGTCAGTTATAGATTCATGCTCTGGAGGAAAATTGTGTTTGAGATTTCAGTCTAACAGTTTGCTTTGCAATGTGACTTTCTGTATGCACGTAAGGATTTAGATATCCATGTGGTAGTCATTAGTGTAATTCTATGGAGGCCTGGTGGTGCAAACAGTTAAGTGTTTAGCTACTAATCTAAAGATTGGTGATTCAAACCCATCTTGTTAAAATTACAAACAACTTTCCTCTGGAGCAAAGAGAGAAGAAAACCAAAACTCACTGCTGTCAAGTCAATTCCGACTCAGCGACCCCTCCTTGGGTTTCCAAGGTGGTATCTCTATGGAAAAACAAAAGACATGTGGAAACAATTCATTCATGGGACTAAAGGACTGCATGAATCTCAGCCTCCGTGATCCTGTGACTGGAACTAAATGGACTCTGGCTACCACTGCCAACCACTCTGAAAGGGATCACAATAGGAAGTCCCTGAAAGAGTGGGAGAAAAATGTGTAAGAGATCTCATAATAATAAAAAAGACCAGGCTTATTGGTCTGGTAGAGACTAGTGGAATTCCACCCTTCAGGCCTGGAATTGAACTCAATCCCATGGCTCAATTTTTAGCCAAACAATAGGTGGCCTATGAGGTCAACAATAACATCAGGGAGGTACACATCCTTTTGAACAATCATAAGAGATCAGAAGGGCATCTTTGCCCAGGTATAAAGCTCAGAAGGCAGGAATGGATAGGAAAGAAGGACAAAGGGAAATTGTAGCCATGGGGAGGAAGTGAGAAAAGTGCTGTAAAATTGTGGGGAGTGCAAGCAATTTCAGGAAAAAAAAAATGTGTATGACCTGTTGAATGTAAAACCAAATTTACTTTGTAAACTTTCACCAAAATCATAAGAAGAAGTTAACAATAATAACAAAAAGGTTACAGCCAAGAAAACTGTAAGGGTAAGTTCTACTCTGTCACATGGGGACATCGTGCATTGAAAACAACTCCACAGTCCTCAACAACAGTAAGTATAATATTGGTAGATGAAAACATGAAGCATGGTGAATCCATGCTGGAGAAATGTATAGACTAAGATGATAATATGAAAATTTCCATATTAAGAGAATTTAATTTCCATATAAAAGAGAAAGCATAAAGATAACTGAAAAGGCTAAGTGAAGAAACTAGACCATGCTATTTGAAAGAAAGGAATGCCTGATATTTAGCACTGTGCCTAAGACATGAGAGACATTCAATATATAGGTTTGATTTATAACCATTTCATTTCTCCTTTTTGACTTGCTAACTTCTTGAAGAGTCAGCTCAAGCATCATTGGTAAGAAGATTGCCTGCCCTTTCCCAAGTATTTTATGATACCCTTCACATTATAGCATCAAGGTGACCCATTGAATATTTATCATTTACTTCCCGCCCCCTCAATTTTATGCTAAATAAAGGACAGTGTTATTCTAGTCAGATCCATGTGTCTGAGAAAGTTCTGGGAAAGATTTTCCTTGGTTCTCCTCCCCCTAACTGTATTTTATTTTCTAAGGATGTTGGGCTTTCATTTAATAATTAGTCAGTTAATGTTTCTCACCCCCCCCCCCCTTGAGTCTTATAACTCAGGAATTTTTAGATATCCACTTGGGAGCCACTCCTCAAAAGGAAGACTGGGCATTCTACTTTGGTAAAGATACCACCTGGGAAACCGAAGGAGGGGTCACTATAAGTTGGAACTGACTCGATGGCAATGAGTTTTGAGTTGGGTTTATGGAGCCTTGACAGTGCAATTCAAATCTAGATAATCAAAAAACAAAAATTAGAAGAGTGAGTTTAGTATGTCCAGAAGTTTTACATGAATGTGATTTTCCTGACATAGGGAAGGCTGAAAGAACTTATCTAAATTATTGTAATATTGTCAGTAGAGCATAACCAAGGGGTTTATTTCTGGAATGTGGCAAGTGTTTGATATTAGATAATCCATTAAAACAATTACTTATATTAATATATTTAATGAATAATCAGATCAATACATGACAAAATAGATTTGATAAAAAAGCAATACCTATTATGGATTAAAAACCTGTAATAACATAATAGACATTTTCTTAACATATTTATTAATTTTAAATGTATATAAATCAGCATTATTTTAATAGCTGCAAATCCTGCTTTAATGCTTTATCTTTAAGTCACAAGCAGAATCAGAACCTATACTATTACTTAACATTGTTCTAGATGTATGACTTAATATACTTAGAAAGAGAAAGAAATTAGAACTATAGCAAGTGTAAATATTATAATTATTTTTCTGATAATATGGTTGCTTTCCTTAGAACACTTTTAAACAATAGTTCACTTGGGTATCAAAGGACAAAATAAATACCCAAACCCAATGGTTTTCATATATAAATGATACAATTACTTATGTGATGCTGTTGATGGGAATAAAAAATGAAGGCATAGGAATGTTCACCAAAAAAAAAAAAAAAAAGAAAAAAGGGTAAAGAGAGGGCATTTAGCCTTAAACAGATTTTCCAAATACATCAGTAAACCAAACTAATCTTGGTTTTGTAATTATTGTTCATTATTTATTCCTAAAACCTTAATTGCATTAAGTTCTTTGGGAGAGGGATGGTATTGTGATGTAGGGAGCCCAATACTACCTCATTCTCATAATTATTTTCCCAAAAGGACACTCCCCTGGCCCACAACTTCAAGTTCCCTTCTTGCCAATCTCTTCTACTTTGTACTGAGGAGGATGAAGGGAAAGGAAAGAAGAAAAATAGGAAGGAAATAAAAAGGGGAAATCACCTCCCTTTGACATAGATGCCCATGACTTTTGCTAATACGTTCTCTCTCTTTCAGGTTCAGATCAGCTAGAGTCCGTTTCTTCTGAGGAAGAAGAGCTGGAGTCGCTCTCTTTAGACCCATTAACTCTATCCTCATCCTCACTGCTGGAGTCTGAGGAGTCACTACCTTCCTTCTCTTCCCTATCTTCCTTATTTTCTGCTGAACCCCATGAAGGATGATGATTAACTTGAACAGTCTCTGGTGAATCTGTGCCTGTAACCTGAAGCTCCAGCTCATCTCCAAGCTCTTCTTGTAAGCTGTGCACTGATGGACACTGCAGAGACATCCGTCTGCATTTGGGATTTGGGCCTCCCATCATGCTCATGTTCTTGCGCTTAGCATAGGTTGCCTCTTTGTATGCTGCATATTCCTTAGGAGATAGGCTCTTGAGCCAGAGATCCAGGTCCACCTTGTATTGTTTCTGCAGTTCTTCAGCCAGGTTCTTATAATGATCCTTCAGTTTCTGTGGGATGTGCTGCCAGCGTCTGCCAATCTCCACCATGCGCTCTCTCATGGGCACATGTTGCAGCTCCCTACTCGACCACAAATCCTGGTAGAACTTGTGGTAGCCATTCATGGGGGGCTTCTTGGGCTCTCCGTGAAATCTAATTTCCTTGGAGAAGTCACCAGTTTCCAGAGAGGACCCTATGTCTTTCATATTTCTCTGAGAACTCATTAGGGTTTGAGTTTGATGCTTCTTTGGGGCATAAGATTTCTTGGGGTTCTGGATTAGATTAGGGTGGTCTTTCTTGAATTGAGCCAGTTTTTCTTCAAATTCATGTCTCTCCTTCTGGAAATCTTGAATATATTTTCGTTTCATCTGCTCTGGAAGTTCTTTATATTTCTTGGCTAGAACCTTGGTCAGTTCCTGTTTGCTCAGCTCAGGGTACATTTGGGAGTACTCGGAACACTCTTCCTTGAAGAAGTGGAAATAAGCAGTCAAGGGCTTCTTGGGGATGTCTGGATGTTTCTTGAATCTTTTGTTTTTGAAGGGATTTTTAACATGTTCCTGGGCTTCCAGGACTAATTCTTTCAAAGTGCGATACTTCCTCAAACTATAAGAAATCTCTAACCATTTGTTTTTGCACATTTCTCCAGAAAAATCTTTGAAAGCTACTTTCTCCCAGTTCATATGTGACTGGGTTGTTTTGAACTTTCGCTTGTCATTGGGTGGGAGGTTATTCTCCATGCATTCCAGTAACATCAGGATGTCTTCTTCAGACCAGTGATCTTGGCCTTTAGACAATGACATTTTTATGTCTTTGGGCCACTTAGATGGGCTGTCCAGAAACCTCAACAGGAGCTCAAACTTCTTCACTTTCAAGATTCAGCAAGTGAATTATTTCTTGAGGCTCTACAGTGTGTGTAGTATCTTGGTTCTGAAGAGAAAGAGAAGAAAAATTACTCTCCTTCTGAAATGAATGAGAAAAACATACCCTATATAAGATATGTCTCTTCTGTAATTTAATTTAACCTTAACACTACAAATAAACCAAACCCATTGCCATTGAGTAGATTCTGACTCATATCAACCCTATAGGATAGATTAGAACTTCCCCATTGACTTTCTTTCTTTCTTTCCTTCTGTTCTGGTTACCCAGTGCCACTCTGACAAGAATATACCACATATGGGATGGTCTTAACAAATAAGAGTTTATTCTTACAATTTGGAGGCTTTAAGTCCAAGTTCAAAGTGCCAACTTCTAGGGGCTGAGTAAAAGCTCTTTAGCCTTGGGCTTCAGCTCTGCCTCCAGCTCCCGGGCCACTGGAGCTAGAAGCTTTTCTTCACTCAGACAGCTGCTAGCTGCTGAGGATGCCAAGCCAAAGGTTGACAAGTAAAAAGGCACAGTCCCAATGTTACCAAACCATACAGCAGGCCATTAATTCAAGTCCACTTTAAGTCCCTAGGTCAGCAGAGCATGGCAGGCTGCTGAAAAATGACATGGCTATATGCAGGATCCAAGCATGCCATAAGCTTGAGACCATTCCCAAAGCTGCTTCTTATATACAGGAAGCAGACCACATATGCAAAGTAGCAAAGTAGCTACTCAGCTGCTTGTAGTAGATCCCACCATGGAGTTGATTGCCAATCTCATCATGGGGAATAACTACCACCAGCTTCCCAGCCACTCAACCAGGCTCAGCCAAGTTGACACACAAACATAACCACCACACCCTCCATCGGCTTTCTAAGGGTATAAATCTATCTCCAGTGGAGTGGTTGGTGGGTTCAGACAGCTGACCTTTTGGTTAGCAGCAAATGTTTTTAACAACTATGCCATCAGAGCTCCTCTAATCGCTATATTTACCTTAAATATCTTAAACGGAAGTCAAGGAAATGTTTGGCCACTTACTCAAGAGGTGTGGGATAAGGAAAGTTTCAGGGGGAAAAAAGGAGGGAAAAATTAAAATAAACAGGTAAATGGTTAAAAGGGAAATGACTTTCAATATGTAGTGCTCTGAGATTGGCCACCTTATAAGTGGAGCCCAGTGCCTCTCCTTCTCCCCTTCAAAATCCATGCCATTGTGGAATTTTGTATGAGTTGCATATCAAAACATGAACCTGAATTAAATCCAAAAATAAAATTGAGAGAGTAGAATAATAAGTGAAAGTTTGTGAAAATGGATGTTATCAGTCAGGAATGTAGAAAACACACTATAATGCAGAGAGTTTAAGAGATTTTATGAAAGTGTTACTTACAGTGTTGTTTGAAAGTGAAGGGAAACAACAAGAGGATGAGGCATCCAAAGTCTAGGAACAGTGGTGTTCTGGTTACCTAGTGCCACTCAAAAAATATACCACAAATGGGATGGCCTTAACAAACAGGAGTTTATTCTTACAATTTGGAGGCTTTAATTCTAAGTTCAAACTGTCAGGCTCTAGAGGCTGGGGAAAAGCCCCTCAACCAGCTCTGCCTCCTGCTTCCGGCCCACTGGAGTTAGAGGTGTTTCTTCACTCAGACAGCTGCTGGCTGCTGAGGCTGGGAAGCCCAAGGTTGACAAGTAAAAAGGCACATCCCTATGTCATCAAACCACATGGCAGGCCATTTCTTTAAGTTCATTCGTTGTAAGTCCCAAAGTTGGCAGAACATGGCAGGCTGCTGAAAAATGACACAGCTACATGCAGGGTCCAAGAGTGCCATATACTAGAGACCATTCTCAAAGCTTCTCTTTATATACAGGAAGCAGACCACATACCCAAAGGCAGCTGCTCATAGTAGATTCCACCATGGAGTTGATTACCAGTCTCGCCATGGGGAATACTACATCCAGCTGCCCAGCCACTCAACCAAGCTTGTTGTGTTGTTGTTGTTATTTGCCATTGAGTCGGACCCGACTCATAGCGACCCCTCCTTGGGTTTCCGAGGCAGTATCATTACGAAGTAGATTGCCCCATCTTCCTTCTGAGGAGTGGCTGGTGGGCAAACAGGCTTAGCCAAGTTGATATACAAACATAACCACCACAAGTGGGAAGCAATTACTACCATTAAACCTGAAGGTGATAAACAGCTCTCAGTGAAATTGAGGGATTAATTGATGTATTCATAAATTCTGAGAAGAGGCTTTCAGTTCAGAGAGTTTGAGAATAAGTTTGTGGTAAGTTTAGTGAAAGCTGGGGAACTGAAACTTATAAACTTCAGGGAAAGCAAAGATATTATAAGAAAAGGGAAATATAATCAAAGTATACCTCCTGGTTCAGCTATAGTTTTCAATTTATGTGGAGACAATAATTGATAGAATAATTTAATAAAAATTTACTATGTAAAGATATTGGAAAGATGAAAGAAGTGTATATGTGTATGGAAATATAAAGGAATTAAAGAGCTAAGTTTTTGATTTTGCATAAAGTCAATAGATATTATCTATTTTAAGAAATATCAGAATAAGCACATTATTTATAGTCTTATACAATAAGAAAGGGACTACCTCTTTTGGTAGAGTATAAAAATGAAAAAGATAGTATATCTTTTATCAGAAGCTCACAGATATGAATAAATAAAATATAAACAGAAAATTGCCATTATGAAGAAATGTGCAGGTATGATGGGAGCTTACTGCTGACAGGAATAAGCACCTCTCTATCTTGTCTTCTGAAGTCACATACAGGACTTCAGGTAAGATGGAGGAATAGGCAGACAAGAGACACAGACCCTCTTCAACAAAGAAAAGAAAAACCAATTGACAGAGATACAAAAGATAATCCTGGTGCCCTGAGCTTTGAAAGGAACTATACAGAAGTGGGGGAGCTCTGGTAACATAGTGGCTAAGACACTAGCCTGCTAACCAGACGGCTGGCAGTTCAAACCCACCAGCCACTCCTCAGAAGGAAGGTTGGGCAATCCTACTTCCGTAGTGATATTGCCTCGGAAACCCAAGGAGGGGTCGCTATGAGTCAGGTTTGACTCGACGGCACATAACAACAACAACATACAGAAGTGGCGTAGGCACCAACTAGTGGAAAAACCTGAATGAAAACAGTGAGTACAGAGATGGTCAGACCTGTGAACTGTCAGCTATTCCAATGGGACCAACAGCCTGAATATTTCCAAGTGGTGTTGGGACCTGAGAATTGACCTAACAAAGATCAGCCCTAGTCACCAAGGGCTGCAGGGACGACTGCCCTGGTGGCCTATGACTAGGAAGGGAAACAGCATGGTGGAAGACAGCCTGAGTTGTTGACTTTCAGCTGTCTGGAGAGCGCAGCCATTTTGATTGTTTACATGCAGCAGCCATTTTGGATAATTAAAGTGACTGAGGGCACACCCATTTTGAATCTTTACAAGTGGCAACCCTTTTCGATTTTAAAGTGATGGCATCCCTATTTGGATTCCAGGGATCTAAGAATAGGCTTTGTTTGCCAAGGTTGGCAGGGACATATGAGAGGCTGAAAACAAAAGGAGACAGGTGGTGAGTGTATAAGTACTGCCCACTAGCAAATAGAGGAGCCAAGCACAGTATCCTGCTTGCATAGATAATATATGAGCAAAAAAGAAAACTAAAATCATGGGCAAGTCACTCCAACATACAATCACCAATTAAACACAAAAACATCACAATGCCTCAGAGACAACAGAGCATCACAGTACACACAAAGAAGCAAGACAAAGCAGGAGAAACAAGGGACAAGGATACAGACCCAAAACACATCCCAGAGGAAGACGCAACATTGGAACTCCCCAATAAGGAATTCAAAAGAAGTATATTTAGTTATCTTCAGCACATCGAGAGACAGATCAAGGAAAACACAAAGAAAACCCTAGAACAATTTTGAAAAACAATACAAGAACAAAATGACAAAATAATGAAAAATTAGAAATGATACAATATCTACACACAGAAATCCAGAAGATTAATATTAAATTTTCCAAAATAGATAAGACATTGAATGAGCAAAGGAGCAGAATTGAACTAGTGAGATTGAAGGCAAATGCCTGTACACTTCTTTGGAAAGGGATAAATCACAAAAAAGATCAAAACAAAATGAAGAAAGCCTAAGGTTCATGTGAGATACCATCAAAAGGAATAATCTACATGTAATTGGAATTCCAGAACAGAAAGAGAAAAATAAAATCACAGAGAAAATTGTTGATGATTTGTTGGAAGAGAATTTTCCTGGTATGATGAAAGATGAGACTATATCCATTCAGGAAGTCCAACGAACCCCAAACAGGATAGACCCCAAAAGAAAATCACCCAGACA